GTTGATTGAATTCCAGCTAAAGTGGCTAAAGTGTCGATGAGATTGATCTCGTCACCTGGAGGAGACCTCGACTTCCATTCATGGTCAGGTCGTGGATGCACACCTTTGTGGAATCTGAAAATAGGATGAAAGAACTGTAACTAATATTTATTTGGTGACGAGTACTTAACAACTGAGATTCATCCGAGATGCCCACAAATCCCACAATCCAAATAGATAAGTGTTTATCCCTCTACGACCAAGGTAGGAATAGGAACTATGCATACTCCTTTCATACGCATATACACAAAAACACGCATGCACCTTCACATACCCATTAGGCGAACGTCTGACTTGATATCACGAATGGTTGCGGCGTTGGCTGCCTATAATAACCTGAGAGGAAAGAAATTCTGCAGATTGGCCTCAATTCGACAGATGATCGTAAAATGATCGTCAGGGTTGGTAGAATAACGACAGTAGTCCAAGTGTTTTAAAATGGAGATTCCCACACACCTCATACATCGATTTTCCATTCCGCTTATTAATTGAGTAAATGTCATGCGACAACATCACTTGTCACAACATCACTGTGACATCCAAATGTGCGTTTTTGAGAGAGCATGGAGAGTTGTCGACCATGCATATCCACGACATAGAATAAGAAGAAGTGAAACTGACATAATCAACGTGAATGTAATGAGGATTTCTCATCACGGTGACCTGCAGAATTGCTGGACTAGCTAAATTTGCATCCATCTCCTATCCTCATTGTATTTGATCATTCTATGATTATTTTCGTATTTTGTAGAACTTCAGCCCTTTTACAGCACGTGTGAGTGTACTGATTTCCACAATCGCGATAGAGAAATCTGCTAGCATCGGACTGATTGGTGATCACATAGCTACTCAATCATTCTGTATATAGATTTCTTTGTGGAATATAAGTCTGACACTGAGAGTACATCAAAGTAGGAATGCCCACATCATACCGAAAAGATCAAATACTTCTATGTGGACTCAATGTCCAATTTATTTTCAACGATTATCATTATCATTAACTTTTCTGAATCACTACATGACCTCGACAACAATCGAGGTTTGTTGTCGAAGCAAAGTGGTGCAGTTCTCAACAGAAATGACGAAAAGTATCTCACATTATCGGACATTTCTTCAACAACAGACAACAGCCTCACACGACATACTGTTGAATGCTATAATAATCGAAGCTGCTGTGAGAAGAGTACATAGTTCACTCTCCAAATACTCTGTAATGTAAATCGTCTACTGCGTGTTCAAATACAGTCGAGAATAAACCTGTGAGTCTTGTCATGATTTTGATTGTTATCAAGGAATCGTGTTTCAGTCAGTAGTTCATGCAGTCATCAAAACAAACAATCTTCACATGGCTTGTTATCTTGACCGATTCATCCATTGAACAACGTGAACATTTCCCCATGATGCAGGACTATGATCGGGTTCACGTGTATATCAACGCAGAGTTTTTGTAAAATCTCGTATCACATCACTCTGCTCAGAGTAGAGAATATGGAAGATTAAGAAGGCATTTAGAAAGGAGAAGGATTGAGGCGAGAAATATCTCCTTTCCAATTAAATCATCGATCTATGGCTCTACTCTAATATACACGTGTAGCGTGTTTAATACAATACACAGAATTGTAGTCAAGTCGACAAGGAGGATACATGATGAGATATCAGAAACCCATCAATCGCACTCAGATCTCTTAATCTGTCGGCAAAATCGATTCACTGTCTATCACAGCTCCACAGCTCAATATTTCAGACATCATAGGATTGAACAAGTCAGTCCACTCAAGTATTGTTCACACATGAAACCAAAATCACCAGTATGACATTTTGATGGATTCAGTTTTAAGACCATTTAGATGAGACGACTTGTCAACTTCAGATAAGAATCTACTCATCATATAAGAACAGTGGAATGCAGGAACTACTGGAACACGAATGGTTAGATCATCATCGGCATATTTAATGAAGCTGGCTTTGGGAGGATCCGGAAGATCAACCAAACATAAAGACTGGCCCTATTCAGGTAGGTAGTTACCTGGGGTTCTAGTGGGAAATCGTGACCAGTAGGGTGCATCATATCGGGTGTGAGGACAAATACTCGCCGAAGACATTGGCTAGCGTTTGCTCTATATCGTCAATTAGCAGACGTTGGATTTCATGGGCCATTGGATCGGGTCCCTGTGGCTTAATGGTATACGTGCTTAGTCTATTAGCACACGGAACCATGATGAAATTAAACAGAAATGGGAAGAGTGAACATCACTGACACTCTCACCTGGCTGATTGCATGAGTTATGGGAGTGGAGTGAGTTTCTTGGTCAGTGCAATGTATTTTCCCGTAATTCCATCCATTCACAGCCAAACATCTCCGTAGTACCGCTCGGTCAACCGAATCGAAAGGTACATTCAGGTCGAGAAATATGACGATTGTTGTAGGGACGCCGGTTCCAGAATCTGTCGAAGAGTGAAGATATGATCGATACACCCTCTTTCTAGTCTAAAGCCTGTGTGATACTCTCATGGTTTCGCCTTGCGAGAAACCTCTCAGACTTCGAATGATTATTGAGCCAGGAATTTAAGTCAAAATATTGGTCGAGCTAATCCGCCGGAGTCAGTCTTCACGCGTCTATCGATTCGAATGAGGTAGCAGAAATCCACTGGATTTTACTAACTTCCGGTTTCAGGTTATTAACAGCCTTTACACCTGTGTCTACAGCCAACTGCATATTGTGCGAGGCTTCTTCAGGAGGAGTCTCGTTATCGACCTCAGGTGCTCGTCTCGATATTTCTTGCTTAAATAGAGACTGTGTGTCGATCTAGTTGTGGGCGTGACTGCTTCGCTGACAACAGTTTCCATTGTCCGTTTAATAGTGAGCATAAAAGTGTGCGAACTAGGGAGTTCATGGAGTCAACGCACGTGTTCCAGGAGGAGTGGAAGTCTTCTACTCACTCTCGCCAACGATACCCCATCGCCATGTGGTCAATATGTGTCGAGTATTGATTCAGGGACTGAAGTGGCCAGGTTAGGCAATGTCACTGTTTGTTCCTAAAGTTGGTGCCGACCAGGAACGAGGATTGTCTGAACAGATCTGTGGGAGACGATCTCCGTTGTCAGTTTGCGACAGAGAACTTTGTTCCTGCCACCTACATACTCATCAGTCTCGCATAGGTAGTACACTTAGGCGCCGAACTCACCTCATAAAACAACTATATCGGAGCGTTTTGCTATTTGCAGCGAACTAGACAGTCTCTGATACCAGAAATCTGTGATCGCAGAATATAAAGTCAACACAGACTAATGACAAGCCATTTGTGCAGATAGCAGCAGAGAATTCAGTAAATTCGTGCGCAAAGCTAGATATATCAGCGAGACCTCAGTCTGCAGTCACCCAAACATTTGTTATGCACATATAGGAATATTCACTGAAGTGCCTTGGACGACACCACACCACACCACACTGTCTCAGTGGAACAGTCTATATTGTCATTGGAAGAATGAGGACATGCATGATTAGGTGGAGACGACGTTGTTTTAATAGAAGTGGCTACTCCTCTGTCATGCGTTTTCTATACACCATGCATGTCCTGATGGAAGACTTCATATTCATTGAAAGAGATTAGATTATCGTCGAATGTTGTGAAGCCAAGTCTCTTGTATAGCCGAAACACCACCATTCTATCACACATGTGAGGATATTAGGGATTGGAGATAGTCGACTTTGTTAGGCAGAGACGTAATGATGACTTCACGGACAGTCATAAGATTAATTAAATCAGTCTGCAAGACGTTGTTTGCTGCAAGATTACAAATGATGTTCCCCAGACATGAGTTGTTCTCCGTCTATGTAGAAGATGGGCTGACTCGTCTGGTCGTCTCAATGTGCCCCTTTCAGTTGATAATAACTATTTGATAATATTAATCGTAGTCATGAGGAAAAGGTATATAGAATTACCAAATAAACAAAATAAGTAAACGTCTATCCCTCCCTCTACGGCGATCAGTTTAGACTACCTATCTTTCATCCTAAAGCAGAGTGAATGAATTGCATGGCTATCTGATTGAAAACGAACCCAATCCACTCGTTCCGCTTTAAAATAAGGAACGTTTGTAGTTCTGATTGACTTCACTCAGAACTTGACATCCTAAAAGCAACGACCGCAGAAAACGATCACCCTAACCGATTTATTGACACCAACATGAAAGATAAGCAGTCTAAACTGGTCACCGACTCACTTTCAAAGAAAACCTTATTCATGCACATGGAATTCAAAGGTGATCAAGCATCAGATATGCTCAAACATCGTCTTTCTCTCTCTCGAGCAGTCACTAAGATGTTCTTTTCAGCGAAATTGCATATGACGTTCACCAGGCGAAAGTTGTTCTCTACCTCTGTAAAAGATAAGCTTCTCCGTCTGGCCACCTCCATGTACATCTATCAGTTCACCTACTCTTGTGGAGCAAGTCTTATTGACCGTAGTCAGAGGACGCTTTCCACACGCATAGGAGCACATATTCCAGCATCATGGTTTTACAAGTGAGAAAGGAAGTGTATGCGAAGCTTTATTCTGGAACACCCGGTCGACTTCTGTCACTCTGTCAACACTGAACATGCTTTCAACATCATAATATGCAGAATCCATGATAACTTTCCACATGTTTTCTTGGTTACAGACTAGTAAAGACACAGGAGGCTTTAGAAATTCATGACTTTAAGCCAGACCTCTGTATAAAAAGAAGTATGTGGAATCCCTACATCTGCCTTGGCCGTAGACGGATAGACATATATTTATTTTGTTTATTTGGTTATTCCATGTACCTTTCCCTCATTACTACGATTATTACCACTATTATCACCATTATTATCATCATCATTATCGTCATTATTATTGTTACTATTCTCACTGTGAATTGTTTCCACTTCACCCACTTGTCATTCACAACCCAAAATTTTTCTTTTTACTTTTTTATTCCTACAACATTGAATTCTATCTCATCAAATTTCACACCATGTTATGTAACATTTTATATTCGCCTACCAATCCTATAGCTATGCTCCACTTTCCAAAATATATACATCTTATATATTATTCTATATATGACATTAATTATGTTGCCTCTCGACATTAAACTGTGATTATGATCACAAATATTTCAATTGCATTTCATACTACTACTACTGTTATTTTTTCATGTATTCACACCTGTGACCTAATTCCCTCACCGGATATAATTTCTTATTAAAAACCATATACATATACGATTGTACAGCTTGATAATAAATTCGTTGAAAAGAGAGTCTCTTCCCCCGATATTGTGCACTCGTAATACAAACAAAACATTGAACGAAATATTTGTCAACACATAGTTGAGGTTTTCATCCCATCCACACAATCCACACCACTTCATCTTCACCTTTTTTGTGGTTATGATCCTCGAACTTTTAGTACTATCACCTCACTTGACCTACTTTCAAATTCTTATTACCCATTCATTCATTCATTCATTGAAGTAATAGATCCTTTTCACTCTCTACTATTCAACACCTGACTACATCATTCCTCACCAATGTTACTTACTCTCACTTCCAATCAATTACTCATTATCATTGTTAAAAACAAGTATGTCCACATCGCTAATTTAATTTAATTCAATTCAATTGATAATTTCGGTACTCTTCTTTTGACAATACGAGTTGAGAAGTATCCAGGAATTAATAAAAATGAATTATCCCGGTACATTTGTCATTCCTGCTTTATTCGAATTAATATTCTCCTACTACACTAGCTAACTGACGCAGTATTTATTTATACCTGTCAGAAGTCACGGAAGCGAGACCAACATTTCCAATTAACACATCCAGCGACTGTTACAGTCGCTTTCTGTGCTGAATTCCACTAGTCACACATACCGTCGTCACCCAAAGTGCACCAAAACGCAGAACTCGGAATGACAAATCGACTGACAATCGAATGTTAATCAGCCCTTACACCTGACCAATACACTGGTTAACAAACACTCGATATATCTTCCAATGGAACCGTCTAATAACCTACACTTCGGACAGTTCTCAGTTTATCCAGTGGTCACCATGAAATCAAATCGAAACTCATTAAGCTTAAAGATAAATTGAGAGTGAAAATAAGGATGATGGGAGATCATTCGCGAAATCATCATTCTCATACATGCGTTGTCATTCTAAATAACTGTCGACTATTTAATCAACTCGACTTGAATTCACTCTACTCTCCTTCGTCATCATTCCAGGCTGATTTGGAAGCCGACCTCACCCACAATTCTATTCGCCTATTTCTCCTACACACAACATCAAGTAAGATTCCTAGTATCTACACAATTAATTCACACTGTGCACATAATACACTGCCTGCGTTGACAACGTAATCTAACTCTGAAACGCAAATGTCACGCTTACCGAACCACGAAGTACCAACGAACGACCAACTCACTCACTCTCTCTCTCGCCCTCGCGCGCGTATACACTAACTCACATACACTACCACTCCATCACGAGAAAACACACCACACAACATAAAGTAAACTTTATTCAAAATGTTATAATTAAAGTTAAACAAAATATTTAGCAAATCACCTTGAAATTTCACTTGAGTGAATCTTGTTGTAGATATTGTATGCAGCATCCTGGGGCTATTGGTGTGAATCATTGTTGAATCCTGTTGTGGTTCTTGGTGTTCATCTTCCTGTGGATTTTCCCGCGAATCTTGGTGTGAATCTTCGTTTGAATGTTGATGTGGTGATGAATAACAACTGAGAATTCTCTGGCGAATGTCATCGCTAACGCCGTATTCATCCCAACAGCTCTTCACCATCTCTTCATCCGGTGGGAAGTGATCCCCAATACCACAGCTTATTTTCAACACATCTCGTAGACATTGTTCACAAGGCATATATCTCTCATCACGAATCACACGCAAGATATTCTCCCAACGTTCACTGTAGTCGAAATAGTGCTTCTCACGCGTCTCTCCATTCACAGACAACTGAGGATACAGCATCAGTTCACTTTCCGGCTCAAAGATTCTGAGATATGTGATGAGTCGACCGAACAGGTTGTTCGCTGTGTCGGTAGTTGTTGTCCTCGGTGAACCGGTCAAATATTCACCATCTGTGTGGTAGTGGAATGGATCATCAATTATTTGACGGTGAAGCCTTCGGAGATCATTCAGTTCATGGAGATTCTCGAACAAGGGGATGCACACAGATCGAACCATCCTGTTGGCGATAGCGTAGGCGATTCGAGTGTATGTGAAACCAGCTGGTACTTGATAGAAATATTTACCGACATCCAGTTTCTTGAGTGACTGATTGTTGTAACCAATCGCCTTCACAGATCTGATTGGATGCTGAAGCTGTCGGTGTTCCGTCGCCATACGGAAAACAACCAATTTCGAGACCCATCGACCAGTGATCAGCATCGCCTTCTCCTTATCACCCTCATCTGTCAGACCATATTTCTCCATCACACCACTTCGAAGTATTCGCCACGCGTAGCTGTCCCTCCGAAAGCCACTCGGTGTGTAACACCTCTCCTCAAAGTAGTTCACAACAGCCGCCATCATCACTGAGATGCATGCATTCATCATCTCTCCTCTCACAACATCTCTCATCTCGGAACTACTCGCCAAATTCTCCACTGTCCAACAGCCATAACTCCAATTTCCATCCTCACGACCATTTGAACATACATCATCCGGTAGTGATATATATTCGCTTGTGGCTTCTTCAGGAGAAGCTGTGTTTCCACCTGCATCTCCCTCTGTTGACGTCGTCAACTCTCCCAGAAGTCCATGGAGAATCACCGCTACCGCTGCATTCGTTAGCCACACACGCAGTGCTTGTGATGCACACTGACCAACAGATTTGTACACATGAGCAGCCGCTGTCACACCAAACTTCATCCATAATTTCTTCGCTTCAATCGGATCCACACCATCATCAGCTTCGGGAAGAAACATCTTGTCAAGCACCAAGACGAATTCGCGCTTTGTCCAATCACAAGAAACATCTGATGGTCCACAGTCGAAATCGTCATCAAGTCTCATGTTGTGCGTCACAACACTAGCCAGTTCATCGATCAATCTCTCCATCTGATTTCGAATGTGCGAAATGTGTCAGTGTATATCGTTGATGTGAATGGGGAATTGTGAATTCGTGCGAGTTATATAATTAATGTGTGGGTGTGTGTATTTGAACAGCCCATCATCACGTCAGTCCACCAATGAGATGTCACTTTCAACCAAACCAATCAAATATGACTGAGAGTTAAGCTAGCGTGTGATTTGTTATACTCGTTTATGTACGATCAGCCTGGAGATTGTTCAGGTGATGTTTAGGGGGATAGAAGTGAGTGGGATGAATCACTGAGTGGAGAATGTTATTTATCCATTGAGTGAATTGATATTAATAATTTGAAAGTAGGTCAGTTGTTTTCACATTTCGAACAATTTGATCCAGCACACACGAACTTTTCATAAGAATGTATATGAAACTATTAAAGTGTTAAGCGGTGAGAATATAGACTCAGGTCAAGTTAAAAGGACATATTGAAAGTCAAATAACAATGAAGATCACTAAACCAAAAGAGAGGGGAAATAGTACATTCTAATAGAGGTTTTTGTATTTCCCAATGAATGAAAAACAAAACGATATTGTTTTTACTAACTTTTCGCTATTTAATGATGCTAATAGCTTTATCAGAGTAGTATTATTAAACCGGAATTTACAAAATCTCAGCATGTATATAATGAAGAGTCAAGAGGTGTGAAAATAGACTTAGGTCAAGTTAAAAGGACATATTGAAAGTCAAAATAACAATGAAGATCACTAAACCAAATTAAAAGGTAATAGTGCATCTCATATGAACTGTGATCAAGATTTGATCGGATAGTTGCAAAATAATTGAGCGCTGAGTGAGAAATAGGCATTTTGTAATAGTACATCTGTTATGATATCAAAACAAAGTTGACTAACTTGATCATATCGTGTGATTTGTTATACTCGTTTATGTACGATCAGACTGGAGATTGTTCAGGTGATGTTTAGGGGATAGAAGTGAGTGGGATGAATCAATGAGTGGAGAATGTTATTTATCCACTGAGTGAATTGGTATTAATAATTTGAAAGTAGGTCAAGTGAGGTGACCATGCTAAAAATACGTCTAAGTTAACCCCGGTGATGTCGAAGATGAATTGAAATGTATTGTGTTAATGGGATGAAAACCTCAACTATGTGTTGAGAAATATTTCGTTCAATGTTTTCTTTATATTATGAGAACACTATATCGAGCGAAGAGACTCATTTGACGGCATTTATTAACACGCTTGACATCCATATATTATTGGTTTTTAAGAAATTATATTCCGTGAGGGAAATAGGTCACAGGCGTGAATACACGAAACAATAATAATAGTAATAGTAGTAATAGTAATAATAATAATAATAATAATAATCACTTTATTCCACAACAATAACAATTTACAGCATGGAATTTTCAGCGTTTCTTTTACATATTGCAATGGTTTAGCTCTGTTTATAATTATATAAATATATAAAATGTTAAAATATTGATAGTTAATAGGAAAAAATAATAAAAAAGAAATAAAAATAAAAAACCCAACAAAATCATACCATTTCTAGGTCATAGTGAATAATAAATAAATAATATAACAAATAACACTTGCATTAATATGCATCATTACATTTTATAGTTTAGTTACTGATTCAAAAGTTGTAAAAGTTCTTTTCTGATATTTGTCTCTTCACACAATACTCGTGCCAAATATGGAACGGTCGAATTTTTATATTTTGTAGTACGAGCATAAATGTTTATAAAATTTCTTCTGGTCTTACCCGAAGAGATACAAGGAAACAATTGTGAATAAAGAGGATGTTCACTATCAGATAAGATAACTTTAACTAAATGTTTACAAGAATTCATATGCCTATTGACAACAGTGTCATTTAGTTCAGTCAAAGGGATAGCACTGACCCTACTTACAGCCCTCAATGTTCTTCGTAGTATTATATGATCTTTCTTGAGTAGCCCAGGGAAGAATAATGGAGAACAATAAAGAATGATGGGCAAAACACATGAATTAATAAATTGTATGATAAGAGATTGAGTTATACCTGAGTGTCTCAACTTCTTTATGTAATAAGTCAGACGGAAAACTTTCTTAGAAACTATAAGAATATGAGACGACCAGCAAAGATTTGACGAGAAACTAATGCCAAGATAAGAAACACTTGACTTACTCTCAATCATGGTACCATCAATATTACAACAATCATGAGATTGAATCAATCCATGCATGTCTTTTTCACTTCTCAAGCTAAAATCAACAGTGTTACATTTAGTTGGATTTAGTTTAAGGCCATTTGAGCCAGACCAATCCTTAACTTCAGCCAGGAAGCCATTCATATAGGAACAATCCGACGTGGAAACTACAGGGACAGAAACGGTCAGGTCATCAGCATACTTAATGAAGTTAACTTTGGGTGAGTTCGGAAGGTCATGCAGAAAGAAAGAGAAAAGAAATGGAGAAAGTACTGCACCTTGAGGCACACCACTTTCAGTTAGCTGGGAAGTGGAGCGCTTTCCAGCCAAAACAGTATGCTGTTTCCTATCCTTAAAATAAGAAGACAGCCATCTAGTTGCCCAGGACTCTGTTTGTGCTGAAATCATCTTTCCTAATAAAAGTGTCCTAGGAACAGAGTCGAAAGCTGCAGTATAGTCTAAGAAAGCTGTTCGAACGAACTTAGCGCCCTTATCAAGGCAGGAAACAATATTGTGGTGTAGTACAATGGCTGCATCTAATGTACTTCTTCCACACTTATAAGCGAACTGCTTAGGGTCATTAAAAGCTTTTAAAGAAGGTTTAAGAATATACAAAAGAAGTTTCTCCATAGTTTTCAAAAAAGGAGATGTTATAGCGACTGGTCTAAATTTTATACCTGCTCCAGAAGATGATTTCTGTACAGGTACAACCTTGATTTCTTTCCAGTCAGCAGGTACCGTTTCCCTCTTAAATGATGCGTTAAAGATTTGAGTAAGAGGATGACACAAGATGTCTGCACACTTTTGGAGAAGAATGCTTGGTACACCATCTGGACCAAGGCTGTGTGTTGGATTTAATGACTTCAAACATAATAGTACATCCTTTTCTTCAAAACCCTGAAAATGACCATTTTCTTGACTAGGTACATCAGGTACAACCATATTAATTTGTTTCTTGATAAATGATTTGTTTAAAGCATTAACATCAGAATAAGCATCAACGGACATTTGTTTTTTACTTGTTAGTTTATTGAAAAGTTTCCAAATGTTTGAAGGATTTTTACATGATAAAAATTTTTCATTATATAGTCTGTTCAACCTTTCTATTTCAATTTTTATAAGGGTGTTTATTTTACGGACACCAGTATTATCACAATTCTTATACAACTTCTCTTTTTGTCTTCTAAGTTTTTTCAGTTGCACAGAAGAGATTCTGTCAAATCTCGAAAACAGTGTTTCATAAGGACAGCAAATATCCAAACAAAACTTCAGATAATCGGTTATATTAGAGACAGTAGCATCCAACTTATCGTCAGTAAATAGTTCCCAGTTGGTATCATGCAACATGCTTCTTAATGCTAGAATGTTGTCATGGGAATATGAACGTTCATGTATCTTCTTTGTTAAATGACTAAACAATTTTCGTTGTGACTTGCCGTACACTTTCGGTAAAATACGAATAATGCAGTGGTCAGAATTTAGCAAAGGAGCTCTCCTTCGGGTTTCATATACATCACGGTCATTTATGAAAACCAGGTCTAGTGATTTGTCCAGACGTGTATTAAACTTGACTAGATTCTCATGACCAAGCGAAGTAAGAAAGCTGTGATCACATAAATTAAAATCACCACAGACTATAGACAACGAGTTTCCGAATGCAGGAGCAGCGAATTCAGTAAACTCATCTGCAAACATAACTATATTAGAAAGGCTACAATCGGGTGTTATGTAAATATTTGTTATGTATATATAAGAATATTTACTTAAGTGTTTTGGGCGACACCTGACGGTTATGCAATCTATATTGTCATTAGAATAATTGAAGCAAACGTGATTTGATGTAGACCAATTTGTGTTTATATATGTGGCTACCCCTCCTCCATATTTTTTCTTGGAACTATTTCTATCTTGGCGAAAAACTTTATACCCATTTATTGAAATTAGATTATCATCATAATGCTGGTGCAGCCAAGTCTCTTGTATTGCTAAAACGCCAGCATTTCGATAAACATTGGAATACATTAGGGATTGAAGATAATCCATTTTGTTGGACAGGGATCTACAATTAGTGCTAACGAGTTCAGGAACAGTCATTTGATTAATTTGTGTACGTTTCAGTGCACGCTGCCAGCCACAGTGATGCTTTTTTCTCAATTTTTGTGGATGACACAACGCGGTAGGTAGTAGTAGTAGTAGTATTAATAATAGTAGTAGTATGAAATGCAATTAAAATATTTGTGATCATAATCACAGTTTAATGTCGAGAGGCAACATAATTAATGTCATATATAGAATAATATATAAGATGTATATATTTTGGAAAGTGGAGCATAGCTATAGGATTAGTAGGCGAATATAAAATGTTACATAACATGGCGTGAAATTTGATAAGATAGGATTCGAAGTTGTAAAAATAAAAAAAAATTTATTTGAATAATTTTGGGTTGTGAATGACAAGTGGGTGAAGTGGAAACAATTCAGAGTGAGAATAGTAACAATAATAATAATAATGACGATAATGATGATGATAATAATGGTGATAATAGTGGTAATAATCGTAGTAATGAGAGAGAGGTACATGGAATAACCAAATAAACAAAATAAATAAATGTGTATCCGTCTACGGCCAAGGCAGATGTAGGGATTCCACATACTTCTTTTTATACAGAGGTCTGGCTTAAATTCATGAATTTCTAAAGCCTCCTGTGTCTTTACTAGTCTGTAACCAAGAAAACATGTGGAAAGTTATCATGGATTCTGCATATTATGATGTTGAAAGCATGTTCAGTGTTGACAGAGTGACAGAAGTCGACCGGGTGTTCCAGAATAAAGCTTCGCATACACTTCCTTTCTCACTTGTAAAACCATGATGCTGGAATATGTGCTCCT